CATTCTCAATGCCCCTCACACCTCTTTCCTCGGCACCATGTTCCCTCTCTTCCCTTCTTCCCTTGAATGAACCTCCCAAACAGAAACTCAAGACTCTGGCTGTCCTCCCAAATGACCAGGAGGATTTATTACTCATAGATCCCCCTCCTCCCTATCTAAAACCCTCCTGACATGTTCCCCAGGGAGTTCAGCCACCAGCACAGGGCTCCCAAGACCTCAGAACCCCTCCCCTGATTCTACAGAGACAGAAGCCTCAGGACCGGCCTCTCCTCCCTCCAGCCAACTGTGACTCAGCACAGAGTGGGGAGGAGCATCGGCAGAAGGGGTTTGGATGACACAGGCTTTCCCCCTCCATTCTGTGGCAGGGCAACTCCAATACTGGTCATTCTCAGCCTCTGACCTTTACAATCGGAAGACCCATAACCCTTCCTTTTTCCAGGACCCCCAGGCACTGACAGGACTGATCAAGTCCATCTTACTCACACATCAGCCCACCTGGGATGATTGCGAAAACTTTTCCAGGCTTTTCTCACTAATGAGGGAAAACAGTGAGTCTTCTTAGAGGCACACAAGAATGTCCTTAGAGCAGACGGCAGATCCACCCAGCTGCCAAAGGAGATCAAGGATGCCTTCCCCCTCACCTGACCAGACCGGGATTACAACACCATGACCGGTAAGGAGTGACTTTGTTTCTATCACCAGATTCTCCTAGTGGGTCTCAAAGGGGCTGGAAGATGTCCCACCAATTTGGCCAAGGTACGTGCAATAGCTCAGGGTATGGAGGAGACTCCTGCATGATTCCTAGAGCATCTGATGGTATGATACTGTGTGTATACCCCCTTTGACCCATTGGCCACTGATCGCCAATTGGATGTGATTATGTTCTTCATAGGGCAGTCTACACCAGATATCCAAAGTAAGCTCCAATGACTGGAAGTGTTGCAGGGTTATACTCCCCATGATTTAGTCAAAGAGGCAGAAAGAATTTTCAATAAAAGAGAGACTCCTGAAAAGAAAGAGGAAAGACTGTGTAAGGAATAGGAAGAGGCTGAAGACAAGAGGGACAAAAAGCATAGCCAAGAATTAACTAAGATCTTGGCCACCATAGTACAAACTCAGGGCAAATTAGAACAGGTCAGAATAGGAACCTGGGAGACAGGAGAAAGCCATGGGTGGACCGGGACCAATGCACCTACTGTAAGGAAAAAGGACACTGGGTTAAAGGCTGGCCAAAGAGACCTCGTGAACTGAGGAAGAAATCAGTTCCCATTCTGTCACTAGAGGATGATGATTAGGCTGATCAAGGCCAGGATCACACACACACACACCCCAGGCCCCAGATAACCCTTGATGTAGGGAGACAACCAACAACCTTTTTAGTGGACAACTTTTTTAGTGGAGCTCAGTACTCTGTCCTAACCCAGATAAATGGCCCACAAAGCTCCAAGACCTCCTGGGTCCAGGGAGCCACTGGGGAAAAATATAGCGATGGACTACCGAGAGGAAAATTCACCTAAGCACTGGGAAGGTGACACACTCATTCCTGCTGGTACTGGGCTGTCTCTACCCCCTATTGGGTAGAGATCTCCTTTCAAAAGTTGGAGCCCATATCCATTTTCACAAGGAAGGTGCTACAATTTACTGGCTCGGATGGACAGCCCCTTCAGGTCCATCTTACACCTCGAGGATGAACACTGACTGCATGAAAAGCCCTCAGCCAACCTCCCTTTCCTTGATCCCATCTAGTTAAAAAATTTTCCACAAGCATGGGCAGAAACAGCTGGAATAGGACTGGCTGTTAACCAACTACCACTGGTCATAGACCTAAAACCTTCTGCCATCCCTGTCTCTATCCGGCAATAGCCCATGAGCAAGGAGGCTAGAGAGGACATACAGGCCCCAAAGTTCAGGTCAGGTAGAAAGAATGAACAGGACAATCAAAGAGACTTTAACCAAATTAGCAATAGATATTGGCACTAGAGACTGGGTGCAGCTCCTTCCCATAGCCCTGTTGTGAGTACAGAACATCCCTTCCTGACGTGGGCTGACTCCATACGAGATGGTCTATGGAAGGTCTCCCCCTGCATCAGACTTGAACACTCCTGCAATTGACTCTTTTGCTGGTGCTCCTGACTTGCAGGCACAGCTGAGGGTACTCCATATCATACAAGCTCAGGTCTGGAAGCCCCTTGCAAGGCCTACTGGATGGAGGGTACAGAGACTCCTCACCTGTACCAGATTGATAACTCCGTCTATGTCTGGAGGCACCAATCTAAGACCCTCGAGCCCTGCTGGAAGGGTCCTTACGCTGTGCTGCTAACCACCCCAACCACACTTAAAGTGGGCCATATTGCTGCCTGGGTCCACAATCCCACGTCGAAAGAGCACAATGAGAAGACAATGGAACCCTGAAGGATCAAGCAGGATGGAAGCTTCAGAGCACTCAATATCCACTCAAGCTAAGACTTTTACAAACTGTAATAACTTTGAGTCTCCTAGCCTTGGTTAAAGGAAACTCATATGCCCCTCAACAGCTTACCTGGCAGGTCTCCTCCCAGACTGGGGAGGTCATTTGATCCCTCACAAATGTAGCAACCCCTGGGACCTAGTGGCCTGCCCTCATGCTCGACTTCTGTCAGCTGGTTTCAGGATTAGATAACTGGGACATACCCACGTATTATGTAATAACTTATCCATCCATACAGGAGGAAAAATTAATGTGGCTGAGGAATTTGGATGTGGCATTCCCCAGAGGAGATGCCGACTGGCCCAGCAAGATTTCTACGTCTGTCCCCGAGATGGTAGAGATTGGGCCATGGCTCAGGGATGTGGGTGCCTTAACCATTTTTACTGTGCTGCCTGGGGATGTGAGATCACAGGAGATGTGTACTGGTGACCCATGCCCTCCTGGGACTGGATTCAAGTAAACAGAAACTATACCAAACCATCCAGCTGCTTAATTGATAATAAGGGAAAACTCCTGGGTGCCTATGGGGAAAAATCAGCTTGCCTACCCCTCAATATCACTTTCACTCAGAAGGGGAGACAAAAATACCAAAACTGGCTAAAAGGAAGAACCTGGGGCATTAGATGCTATCGTTCGGGTACTAACCAGGGAGCCACTTTTAAGATCAACCTCAAAATATAGTCACTCCCTAGTAAACCTAGCCAAATATAATATTGTCCAACCAGAGTGGTCCCTCAGCTGGCCAGCCAGGCAACCAAGAGCCACCATCTGAGACTCCCATTCCAACCCCTATCACTGCTTTCGACATCACCTCCTCCCCCGAATTTCCCTCGACTGGGCAGAGACTGTTCAACCTAATTACAGGAGCGTACTCGGTCCTCAACCAAACTAGCCTCAACTTGACCAGTTCTTGTTGGCTCTGCCTGGCCTCCAGCCCCCCTTATTATGAGGGTATTGCAGTCTTGAGAGCCTATCATAGCACCACTGATGCAAGCTAATGTCTTTGGGACACACACCACCAGTTGACTTTGACTGAGGTCTCAGGAAAAGGAATCTGCCTCGGGCACCCACCCAAGTCCCATCAACGGCTCTGTAACACCACCATTCCAACCGAAGTGACAGCGGCTAATTTTACCTGGTCCCTAGCCAGGGAATATGGTGGGCCTGCAACAAGGGACTCCTCCCCTGCGTCTTTACTCAGGCCCTTAACACTACCAAAGATTTTTGTGTCATGGTGCGACTGGTACCTCAGGTGTTCTATCACTTGACTAACACCCTGGAAGATTTCTATGACAAGCATCCCACATGCTTTCAGAGAGAGCCGGTCACCTTAACTCTGGCAGTCTTACTGGGATTTGGGGTTGCTTCTGGGGTTGGTACTGGAACAGCAGCCCTAATCCAGGGCCCCTAATATTATAATGAGCTACATGCTGCCACTGATGAGGATATACAAACCTTAGAACAGTTCATCTCTAAATTGGAAGAGTCACTCACCTCTTTATCTGAGGTTGTGTTACAAAATAGGAGGAGATTAGACTTACTCTTCCTAAAGGAAGAAGGTCTATGTGCAGCTCTAGGTGAAGAATGTTGTTTCTATGCCAACCATTCAAGAGTTATCAAGGACTCCATGACAAAATTAAGAAATGGGCTAGATAAAAGACAAAGGTACCAGGAGGTCCAACAAGACTGATTTGAAGGATGGTTTGACAGATCACCCTGGTTAACCACCCTCATTTCAACAATCATGGAATCCCCTTATCATTCTCCTCCTGTTTCTCACTTTTGATCCCTGCATTCTCAATAGACTCCTCCAGTTCATTCGTGAGCGACTGAGCATCACCCAAGCCTTAGTGCTCAGCCAACAATATAGGCCCTAAAAGAGGACCTCTGATATTCCAGGATTACAAAAACATGTTTTCCTCATTCCCTTCTCTTATTTTGCAAACTAGAGAAAACATGTTTTTGTGAACGAGCCATGACCCCACTCTGCCTGTTGACCAGAACGTTGTGTTGACCAGGCTGTGTCTTCCAACAGCCTGCAGGTGCTTGCCTGTCCTTAGCCTGACCCAGCAACCACCGTCCCACCTTCAATATAGCCAATCATAGTAAATGCCCTTAAAATGAGTGAATCCCTGCATTTGACAAACAACCCACTGTACCCCCTCTCTGAGTATGTGGTTTTTTGTCTTTAAAAGTAGCCTCTAATAGCTAATTGGGACTTTTCTCCCTTGCCTGGCTGAGAAGCCTGTTTGTGCAAATGAGAATAAACTTCCTCTTGCGTTTGCATCAACTGGAGAGGTGAGTGGTTTCTTGGGGCAACCTTCCTGATGAGTTAACATCCCAGAGTTGGGGTTTAACACTAGCAGCTATCCTGATTCCCCAATACGTCTCTGCCTGCCTGTGATGACCCTGTCAGATCACTTGGCTTTCTCAGACCTCGGTGGGACTTCCACTTGCTGTGCCAGTGCAACTAGAGTCAAGTCTGAGTGAAAGACATCAGGATCAACGAAACACACACTTTGGATGTTGCAGAACAAGAAGCCTTTATTGTACAGCACCAACAGGATTTTATACAGAACCCAGACAGGTGGGTCAACAGGATGGAGAGTGCATCACCAGATCCATAGGTTAGGGCCAAGACAATGTATATTCAGGAATCAGGGTTGGTAAACAAATCTGAAATCATGGAACTTGCAACTTTCTTAGAAACCCAGAACAGTAAGGACAAGAAAGGTCACCAACAGGGGAGGTGAGTAGGAAGGCCAGGACTCCATTAGGTCCCAACAGGGAGCAAGAGAATGTGCAGGAAGGGAACTGTAGTTGTTATGTAAAAGGAATTTTAAAAAAAGAAAAAAATAATAAACAAAATGCAGGACTTATAAAAAAGATATGAAGGTATTTATTAAATGATTTAGCTACTTATTTATTTATTGAGTCATTGACAGAATAATTTTCAGTCTTCATAGAGATGAAGAATGAATAAAGAACACATGATTTTTAAACAGTTTGAATATTGTGTAGATGTATCTATACTTAAAATAATTTTGACCTGGAAAGCAGTAGTGGAAACAATATTGAATTAAGTTCTCAATAATATACAAGAGTTCTTAAATAATAAACATTTTTATATTTTGTATCACTTATTTGCCTATTTAATTATTTTTACCATTGAAATTAGTGAGTGAAATGCCATAGCTGTGATTACATATGTTATTATCATTTTATTATCCTTAAATATCTAAATATATTGAATAGTAGAGAATAATTGATATAAATAAATTTTAATATAGATACATTACAATGTATCTATATCAAATGATAGGTTGCATTTTGATATAGATAAAGGATACATTGTATATTATAAAATAAAAGAATTTAGCATTTCAGTGTCATTTAATTTTGTGTTTGGAGACTTTGTGCTCCCTTCTGTCTTTGTTGTATATAAAGTAGATGAATCTTTGAGGAAATATTAACTTTGCCTCATAGATGACATACAGGAGATGTGAAATTTTGTGTTTAAAATTTTATACATCTATTAATAAATGATTATATAAACAATTGCATCAATTCATAGAAAGTTTACTTGTCAAAATTTACTCTTTTCAGAAATCTCTGTGGTCAGTTTTCCTCTGTAGAAAAGCATTTATCATGATCTTCAGCTGGGGAAACATTTAATAGTAATTGCAAATAACATGTGATTTTATCAAAAGCACCAGCATATTTCTTTAGAAGAAGATGAATCCAGTAGCATGGAAGTCCACTGCAAAAAATGGTAATCTCATAGAAACGATCTAATGTTGGAGACTTAATAATTGGTATTAGGAGTAGAAACAAACTTAAACCTATTGATCCAAATACAAGTGGCAGCCATACCTAAAAGTAAGAAGAAAATTAAAATGAGTAGTGAGTTTGTTATCAAATTTACTATGACAAACAAAAATATGCTTTGATTGTTGTTAGGTCTGAGACTTTTATGTTACTAACTTCAATCTTTAGTATAAATAAAACATTTTGGTAACCAATAAGTTAGATATTTTACATAATAAAAATCAATCCCCAAATGGTTCATACCACAAAATTAGAAACTGTTGGCCCAGGAAATATTTATCAGTATTCAATTTGCAACCAGTAACAATGTTCATTCAATTCCCACTCCTGGTCTCCATACTATGCCCCACAGTCCTGGTAACCTTAGAGGAGGTCCCTAATTTTAGGGACCCCATATAAGATAGTGACCACCATCAACTAAATCCTTATAAGTCTGCCCAACAATCTCAGAATATTTCCAAATCCCTGGGCTCCATATAAGAGCCTACAACTTCTAAAGAAGACTTCAGCTTTACAAGAGGCCAGGCTGGATCTAGCATACCAGGGAACACATCAAGTGGTGCCTATGAGTGCTCCCTAAAACCCACTCAACAATTCCAGAATTCACCCTTTTTGGGGTTCTATATTCTGGCTTACAACTTTAGGAGAAAATGTCAACTCTACCTAGTGTCATACTAGATCTGAGGACCCCAAGATCCCAAAACCTTTGAAGGGACTCGCTGCTGTCTAGTCACCAAATCCCTTGGATACTTAGGCTAGAAGACCAGAGAAGATACAAAAGTCAAGGAAAAAAAAATAATACCAATCCAACAAAGACAGATGCATTAATCAATACCTAGACTTATAATTAGACCAAATATAGATGTTAAATTCCAGTATAAGAACAAAATCAATAACAGAAAGTGTAATGTGGTACCACCACATTGTACTTATAACAGCCAAATCTGAAAAATTCAACACATCTAAAACATAAGAAATTGATCATAAAACTGACTTCAAGAAGATGATAGAGGTCTTTGAAGAAGAAATAAAAAAATACCTTAAAGAAATCAAGGAAAGCCTGTGTCAGCTCGGAGAGTTTCATGGCAAGCAAGGGGCACTAATCTGCTAGCAGAAGATTCATCAGAGAGGAGAGTTTGCTCCTGACCTGCAGCAGAAGCCTGGCAAGGAGGAGCTCAGATATTCCCTGACCCCCTTGACTCCCTGATCACTCAGCAGGGCCTAAGCCCTCTCGCCTCCTATCACAGCCCAGCTTTCACCCAGGAACCCCTTTCTTTATTCCTCCCTGCCTCCTCAGGGCCATGAAATTCTCCAGATAGGCGGGCTTGCATGCTGGGACTGGGCTGCAAATGCAGCCTGGCAGGAGGGAGTTCCTGTGTTTCGATAGCCTGCCAGCGGAAAGGTAGGCCCTGTGTCAGCTCAGCGAGTTTCCTGGCCACCAAAGGGCACTGATCTGCTAGCAGAAGATTCATCAGAGGGGGAAACCTGACCCAGTACTAGAAGATCTATTAGAGAACATTTGAAGGAAGAGATGGGCAGACGCCAAGGCAGGAATTCCTCCAACAATCTGAAAAACAACATGAAAACACCAGAACCCAGCGTTCTTACAACAAAAGGACTTGAACACCCTAATCCAGAAGAAGTGGGAAACACTGCCATTATGAAAGCAATAGAGTCCCTTAAACAGGATATGAATAACTCCCTTAAAGAAATGGATGGGAAGTATAACAAAAAGTTTGAAGAACTGAGTAAATCCATAAAAGATACCCTGGGAAACCAAGAAAAGACAATCAAACAGGTAATGGAAACAGTTCAAGATTTGAAAATTGAAATGGAGGTAATGAAGAAATCACAAACCGAGGGCTGGCTGGATATGGAAAATCTAGGTAAATGAACAGAGACTACAGAATCAAGCACAAGCAATAGAATACAAGAGAAAGAAGAACGAATCTCAGATTCTGAAGAAGCCATAGAGAAAATAAACGCTCTGATCAAAGAAAACAGCAAATCCAACAAATCCTCATCACAAAACATTCAAGACATCTGAGATATAATAAAAAGACCAAACCTAAGAATAATAGGGATAGAAGAAGGAGAAGTGCAGATCAAAGGCCCAGAAAATATATTCAACAAAATTATAGAAGAAAACTTTCCCAACCTAAAGAACAATATTTCTATGAAGGCTCAAGAAGCATACAGAACACCAATAGACTGGATCAAAAAAAATCATCACCTCACCACATAATAATCAAAACACAATAGATACACATTAAAGAAAGAATATTAAGAGCTGCAAAGGAAAAAGGTCAAGTAACTTATAAAGGTAAACCTATCAGACTTACACCGGACTTCTCTATGGAAACCATGAAAGCCAGAAGGTCCTGGATAGAGGTACTGCAGAAACTAAGAGACCATGGATGCAAGCCCAGACTACTATACCCAGCCAAGCTATCATTCACTATCAATGGAGAAAACAAAATATTCCAGGATAAAAACAAATTTAAACAATATGTAGCCACAAATCCAGCCTTACAGAAAGTAATAGAAGGAAAATCGCAACCCAAGGAATCTAACATTGCCAACACTGCCTACAATAACTCAGATATTTAGCAAGCCTTCACAAGCACATCTCAAAGAAGGGAAACACACAAACTCTACTACACAAAAAAATAAAAAGAAAAAATATAACCGGAGTCAACAACCACTGGTCATTAATATCACTTAATATTAATGGCTCATTAATATTATAATGACTAAAAGGCACAGACTAAGAGATTGGATATGAAAACAGGACCCAATATTCTGCTGTTTACAAGAAACACACCTCAACCACAAAGACAGACATCTACTCAGAATAAAGAGTTCTGAAAAAATTTTTCAAGCAAACGGATCTAAGAAACAGGTGGGTGTGGCCATTCTAATTTCCAACAAAATTGACATCAAACTAAAATTAATCAGAAGAGATGAAGACGGACATTTTATACTCATAACAGGAACAATTCATCAGGAGGAAGTCTCAATCCTGAATATCTATGCCCCTAATATAAAAGCACCTACTTATGTAAAAGAAAAACTTCTAGAACTCAAGGCAGTCATTAAACCACACACACTAATAGTAGGAGACTTCAACACACCTCTCTCACCAATGGACAGGTCAATCAGACAGAAACCTAACAGAGAAACAAGAGAATTAATGGAGGTAATGAATCAAATAGACTTAACAGACATCTATAGACTATTCCACCCAAATAGGAAATATACCTTCTTCTCTGCAGCTCATGGAACCCTCTAGAAATTGACCACATACTTGGTAAAAAAGCAAACTTCCACAGACACAAAAAATATTAGAAACCACCTGTGTATTGTTGGATCACCATGGAATAAAGTTAGAATTCAACAACAATTCTAACCCCAGAAAGCCTACAAACTCATGGAAGCTGAATAGTCAACCACTGAATCAGCCCTGGGTCAAGGAAGAAATAAATAAAGAAATTAAAGTCTTCCTTGAATTTAATGAAAATAAAGACACAACATACTCAAACCTATGGGACAACATGAAAGCAGTGCTAAGAGGAAAGTTCATAGCACTAAGTGCCAAATTAAAGAAAACAGAGAAAGCACACATTAGAGACTTAACAGCACACCTGAAAGCTCTAGAAAAAAAAAGGAAGCAGACTCACCCAGGAAGAGTAGAAGACTGGAAATAATCAAACTGAGGGCTGAAATCAACAAAATAGAAACACAGAAAACAATCCAAAGAATCAATGAAATAAAAAGTTGGTTCTAAGAGAAAATCAACAAGATTGACAAACCCCTTGCCAAACTAATCAAACGGCAGAGAGAGAACATGCAAATTAATAAGATCAGAAATGAAAAGGGAAACATAACCACAGACACAGAGTAAATTCAGAGAATCATTAGATCTTACTACAAAAGCCTATATGCCACAAAATTGGAAAATGTATTAGAAATGGACTTGTTTTTAGATAAGTACCATTTACCAAAGTTAAATCAAGACCAGGTGAACAAGCTAAATAGACCTGTTAGTAGCGAAGAAATAGAAATTGTTATCAAAAACCTCCCTTGCAAAAAAAGCCCAGGACCAGATAGATTCAATGCAGAATTCTACCAGAACTTCCAAGAAGAGCTAATACCTATAGTCTTTACTGTATTTCACAATATAGAAACAGAAGAGTCAAGGCCAAATTCTTTTTATAAAGCTACCCTGATTAAAAAAAAACCACACAAAGACACAACAAAGAAAGAGAATGACAGGCCAATCTGACTCATGAACATTGATGCAAAAATTCTCAACAAAATTCTGGCAAAACGAATCCAAGAACACATTAGAAAAATTATCCATTATGATCAAGTAGGCTTCATCCCAGAGATGCAGGGCTGCTTCAACATAAGCATATCTATCAATGTAATCCATCATATAAATAAACTGAAAGAAAAAACCAATGATCATTTCATTAGATGCTGAAAAATCATTTGACAAAATTCAACACCCCTTTATGATAAAGGTGTTGGAGAGATTGGGGTTACAAGGATCACACTTAAATATAATAAAAGCTATTTACATCAAGCCGGCGGCTAACATCAAATTGAATGGAGAGAATCTCAAAGCCATTCCACTAAAATCAGGAACACGACAAGGCTCTCCACTCTCACCATACCTCTTCAATATAGTGCTTGAAGTTCTAGCAATAGCAATAAAAAAACATAAGGGAATCAAGGGGATTCGAATTGGCAAATTGGCAAAGAAGAAGTTAAACTCTCATTGTCTGCAGATGATATGTACATAAATGTATGTATGTAGTGTACATAAGCGATCCCAAAAACTCTACCAGAGAACTCCTACAGTTGATAAACACCTTTATTAATGTGGCAGGATACAATATCAACTCCAAAAAATCAGTTGCCCTCCTATACACAAAGGATAAAGAAGCAGGGAGGGAAATCAGAGAAACTTCACCTTTCATGATAGCCACAAATAGCATAAAATATCTTGGGATAACTCTAACCAAGGAAGTGAAAGACCTATTTGACAAGAACTTTAAGTCTTTTAAGAAAGAAATTGAGGAGGTTACCTTAAAATGGAAAGACTTCCCTTGCTCTTGGATTGGGAGGATAAACATAATAAAAATGGCAATTCTACCAAAAGCAATCTGTAGATTCAATGCAATCCCCATCAAAATCCCATCAAACTTCTTCACAGACCTTGAGAGAACAATAATCAAATTTATATGGAAAAACAAAAAACCCAGGATAGTCAAAACAATGTTATACAATAAAGGAACTTCTGGAGGCATTACCATCCCTGACTTCAAACTCTATTACAGAGCTACAGTATTGAAAACAGCTTGGTATTGGCATAAGAACAAACAAGTCGACCTATGGAATCGAATAGAAGACCCAGATATTAACCCACAAACCTATGAACACCTAATTTTTGACAATGGAACTAAAGGTATACAATGGAAGAAGGATAGCATCTTTAACAAATGGTTAAAGATCCATAACTGAATGTCAACCTGTAGAAGAATGAAAGTAGATCCATATCTATCACCATGCACAAAACTCAAGCCGAAATGGATTAAAGACCTCAACATTAATCTGACCACGTTGAACCTGATAGAAGAGAAAGTGGGAAGTAGTCTACAAGACATAGGCACAGGAGACCACTTCCTAGGCAGAACCCCAGTAGCACAGACAATAAGAGAATCAATGAATAAATGCGACCTCCTGAAACTGAGAAGCTTTTATAAAGCAAAGGACACTGTCAGTAAGACAAAAAGGCTACCTTCTGACTGGGAGAAGATCTTCACCAACCCCTCATCAGACAAAGGTCTGATCTCCAAAATATATAAAGAACTCAAGAAACTAGACACTAAAACTCTAATTAACCCAATTAATAAATGGGGTACTGAACTGAACAGAGATTTCTCAACAGAAGAATTTTGAATGGTCAAAAGACACTTAAGGTCATGCTCAACCTCCTTAGCAATCAGGGAAATGAAAATCAAAACAGCTTTGAGATACCATCTTACACCTGTCAGAATAGCTAAACTCAAAAACACCAATGATAGCCTATGCTGGAGAGGATGTGGAGTGAGGGGAACACTCATCCATTGTTGGTGGGAATGCAAATGTTTTGAAAGACAAAGGACACTGCTAATAGGACAAAGTGGCAGCCCGGAGAATGAGAAAAGATCTTCAGCAACCCGTATATCCCATCAAATCAAGGTCTAGTCTCCAAAATATATAAAGAACTCAAGAAACTTGACATCAACAAAACAAACAATCTAATTAAAAATGCAGTACTAATGTAAACAAAGAAATCTGAGCAGAATCTTAAATGACAGAAAATTCAAGGAGTTTTCAACATTCTTAGCCACCAGTTTGAAATAAACAAGAATGACACTAACATTCTATCTTACACCTGTCAGACTAAGATCAAAAGCACAAGCGACAGCTTACGCTGCAGAGGATGTGGAGCAAGAAGAAAACACCTCCATTTCTAGTGGGAGAGTAAATTTGTTCAGCTAATTTGGAAGTCAGTGTGTAGGTTTCTCATAAAAGTGAAAAATAATCTACCACAAGACCCAACTATACCACTCTTGAGACTATACCCAAAGCATGCTCAATTTTATCACAAGGACTCTTGCTCAAGTATGTTCATCACAGTTTTATTTGTAATAGCCAAAACCTGGAAGCAATCTAGGTGTCCTTCAATTGAGGAATGGATAAAGAAAATGTGGTACATTTACTCAGCTGTTAAAAACAATGACATCAGAAAATTTAAGGGCAGATAGATTGAACTAGAAAATATAATCCTTAGTAAGGTAACTCAGACCCAGAAAGACAAAGAAAATATCTACTCACTCATAAATGTATATCAGCAATGAAATAAAGGATAACTATGCTACAATCCACAGAGCCAAAGAGACAAGGTAACTAGAAAGGTTTCAAGGAGATACTCCAAGATCTCTTTGGAGAGACAGGAGAAAAGAAACTTTGGATTAACTGTGACTTGTTAGAGATGGAAACATGAAAAATCAAACTGGGGATAAAGACCAAGGGGGAGAATGCTGAGACAGACTTCTGGAAAAGGGGGTGGGGTATTTCAGTGTAAGATCAAAACCTGGCACAAGGGAATCTTTCCAGTATGCACCACGGATGACCGCAGCAAAGACTCCTAGCGCTAGTGGATACAGCGTGAATTCGCTAACTCCTACGATCAGGCAAGACTTCAAGTGGAGGGAGTGGGAAACCAGCCCAGTCACATGATCTTCAATCAACAGTGTGTCTAACCCATGGGTAGTTCTGGGGAAAGTGTTCTCTAGAGGTTGAGTGAATGACCAATCTAGCATAAAATCTGTAACAGGAGAGTAATACCATGCCTAACACTTCCAGGAGCACCAGGAACTACCTACTGGGTATCCCAAAACCTTATTATAGAACCAAATACTACTGGAGGGAAAAATAATCTGTCAATGTAATGATGCCTCACAACATTCTGCAATACCCATAGATTGATGTCTAGCCCAATTGTCATCAGAAAGGCTTCATCCAGCAACTGATGGAAACAGATGAAGACCCACAGTCAAACATTAGGCAGATAATCCTGCAGAAGTGTGAGAGAAAGGATTGTAGGAGTCAGAAGGGACAAGGATAACACAAAACATCACAGAATCAACTAGCCTGGTCTTACAGGGACACACAGAGACTGAATCAACAACCAGGGAACCTGCGTGGGAATGACCTATGCCCTCTGCAGATATTATAGCTGTGTGGATTGATTCTCTTGGACTCCTTACAGTGGGAACAAGGGATGTCTCCGACTCTTTTCCTGGCTTTTAAAAGCAACTTACTGCAACTTGATATGACATGTTTTATGGATATTCATGGGAGACCTGTTCTTTCCTAAACAGAAACAGAGAAGGTGTAGATCGCAGAGTGGGACAAAGGGGAATTTATAGAAGGCACTATGAGGAGAGGAGGCTGTAATTAGGATTTTAAATTAATTGGTAAATTAAAAAACATTTTCTTTCATTATTCTTTATATAAAGACAGAAGAAATTTAATGTTCATACTTTTATTTACCTTATAAGGCCTAGGAAGGTCTGGGTCCTTGTACCTCATTTTAAGTAAAGCTATCATATTTAGTCCATTTCCAATAAAGTATGTTAGTCCTAAATATTTTATCACATAGATTAAATTTAAAGGTATTATTGCCAAAGATGATAATATGATAATTTGAGTGATAGCTACAACTGGGCAGTGGTGGTCATTAAGCATAGAGCAAATTAAAGGAAGCTGTCCTTCTTGGCTTGCAGAATAGACAACTCTTGAGGCTGAAAGTACTCCACAGACAGTGGTGTTCAGTATAGAAATTGAGATGGCCAAAGAAACGACCCATTGCATGGAAGGCGACACTCTGTTCATCCATGTGACCGCAACAGAATCTACAAAAATTAAATAGAAATTTAAGAATTAAAGCTATTTTGATTATTGAGAACACAGTGTTAACCCTATGTTCTTTCCTTCATGATCAATGAAACTTGGGTGCTTCTACCAAAGGAGGGAGTTACTTTACTCATTCTTGTTTCACATAAAGCCTTGTGATTTCATTTGATAAGTAAAAGGCATTAAAAGTTTTATGTTCCAGCATTCAGTCTATTCTCTGATATTGCAGAATTCTTGGCCTCTCAATTGGTAGACTGGATACCTGATAAATTGACAATATTAGATAGTTTGTGAGGAGATGAAGCCATGACTATGCACAACGTACGCTGAAAAGCATGTGTTCCATGTTTCACTGTATTAATCACTAGTCTTCTTACTGTGACCAAATACTGATAAGAACAAACTTAAGAAGACTCTATTTTAGCTTACATTTTGTGGTGCATAGTGCATCATGTCAGACAAGATTTGATGAAAAAATTATGAGGCATTTGATCACATTGAATCTATAGTCCAAAGGTAGACATAAAGGAATCTGAATCATTAAATTCATAGAAGGACTCAGTTTTTTCAGCAAGGACCTGCATCTGAAAGTTTCTATAGATTTCAGAGCAATTTCATGACCTGGAATCCAAATAATCAAACAGTTAAGCATACAGGGGACATTTGACATTCAAATAGTATCACTCAGCTGCTTCACTGCTACATCAGTGGTAGAAATTGAGCACACATTATTTATCTGTCAGATTGTTCACACCTCATGACCTTGTGTGGAAGTCACTTGAAGCATCATTTATTTTCTGACTGAATTTATTTTGCTAAAAGGTTCTTGCTATTCCTTTCTCCTATCTAATGAATAATGGGAATTAATTATCCAGTTCCATTATACCCATGATTTTCATATTTTTGTCAAGTTTCCTATTTTTTCAAACACAAAAATTTGCCCTAATACAATAATGCACATATTCTAGAATTTTCTAATTAAAGGACAGTAAGTCACCTAAACTTAAGAGCTCAGTTTATTTTAAGCTTCATGGCAGATGATTTCCAAGCTACAGTAGTCTCCAGAGAATTTACAGACCCTGTGAAAGATAGAAGCAATTTCCTGTACCCACCATAAATGTTTATCCTATAGATTTGTGGATTAAACAAATTGACAACTTTTGTCATAAAATTTTTGGAGAATTGATAGGAACACCATGGGTAATTAAACAGTGACTAAAACATTCATAAATTATAATTTATAAATTGAAAGATTTTTTTCAAAATGGAAATAAAATATGTTTATGAATAAATGGATGTTTCCTGTCCTGAAGCTTATTGGTCCCAAATACTCAGAATTCATATCACAAATTACCTCACAGAGGGTTATATTACTTATGAATACTTTGCTGATAACTCAGACTTGTTTCTAGCTAACTCATATGCTTAAATTAATCAATAATTCTTATCAGTGGTTAGCCATGTGGCCTGGTACCTTGTCTCAGTACAGCATTCTCATGTTGCTTCACTGCATTTTCCAGTAATTCTCTTACTCTGCCATTTCTCTTCCCAGAATTATCCTTATCTGACTTTTGTTTTCAATCACTTCCTGCCCAACTATCTGTCAATCAACTTTTACTTAACAATGAGCATAATGCACAGCTTTTCCTCCTTTTATCTAATTAAAGATTTTAACCTTAACATAGTAAACTTGTATACAACAAAAACAGTTGGTAAGCAAAAATTACAGTAACAATAGCCAGTCTATTTGTATTTCACAAAATTAGAGAAAATACTCTATCATCTATCTTATCCTGGTAAACCTAAAATTTCACATCTAATTTATCTTTCATCATAACTAAGACAAATTGTAAATATGAATACCTAGTCTTTAACTCCATCAAATTCCATAGAAGAGTTACTAAGTTAACCTCTGACAGGGACCTTAAGCTGCCTGAACAGTCATCCAAAATTCCTCTGCAGCATTTGATCATCGAAGCCCAGCTCCCAGGCCCAGCATATCTGACAGACTTTGCTGTGAAGCAGGGCATTTTGAAGGATTGTTCTATGTTCTCTTGACAAAATTTGGCAGTCACCTTTCTTGCATGCTTTTGGATCAGTTTTTTTACAGTAACTGTCAGCAATTGTGGCAAGGGCAGTTTCTTTGCCCACATGACTATCTTTTGCCATAAAGAAAAAAAAACCCAACACATGAAGTTTCTTCAAAGCCTTTGAAGTAATTGGTGCTGCCAGGAACAAATGAGTCTCAACATCAAGAAAAGTCTAAGCTCTTAAAGCAATTTAAATCACATATCCTGTAGGTCTGTGAAGTGTTTCAAGGCTGTCTATCTATCTGAAATATATTTCTGTATGACTTTGGAAACCTAACTAACATGGCTATAAGTTTGCTATTATAGATGACTAATAATCTGTATATCTTAGTTATATATTCTGTTTTCAGATGAACCATACAATCACAATGTCCTAAACAAGAGTAGAAACATCAATACAGAACAACAGAAATAACTTTAAATTAGTATCAATAAACTGAAATCATTATCAATGTGAACTGTTTTGAAATTAACAGTTGTTTTTTCGGGGGGTTAAATTATATTAATTAATCTACCTTTTTACCCATTATTTCTATGTCACATCCCTTTTTCTTCTTTTAGATAGAGATCTCTGATTTTATCTCTTTTATTTAGTCATTATTTTTACTATAGTCAATAACAATTTTTAACCAACCCCCTTAAGTAAGAACACACATTTATAACCAAAAGTTTGAAAATTTGTGTGTAGCTCTCTAGAGTACTTTCTGCTGATTGGGGGCAGTGGCAATCTTTGGGAAAGCCTGAGGAAATTTAGGATTATGTTCAAGTCCTCAGTATTGTACTTTGTGAGGCTGAATTATTTCAGCCAGCACCCTAGAAGCTGTTCTCGATGCTCAATCATCTGTGCCACTGTTTCCTGTTGGAAATTTTTTTCATGGGGTCTTCCGCAATCAAACTTGATATTTTTTTTAACCTGTAAGGAATCCATAGCCTTTCATTTTCTGTGGAAGCAAAACCATAACCTTTCCCACATAGTAACATATCTTTTGACTTAATTGTTGAAGTTAAGACAATTTTAATACGTATTGGTAGGTTTAATATAGGAGTTTTCATAATCCAAGGTCTTCTATATCCAAACATTTTAAAGATAGTGCAATAATATACACAATCCAGACTCTGTGTGTGTTTTCCATTTTTATATGGCTTATTATATTTTTTATTTCTCCATTCCTTTTGAAGGACTTTTTCCACACTTTTTATTTTCTCTCCCATGCCTACACATATTTTTAATCCATTCAAAATTATTTAGAGGGCTTTTTTCCATCTGAATCTGTCTTTATTGCATATACATATCTTTTCCTGACCACATGATCTTTTAAACTACTAAGTGGGCAAAGCTAAGACCAAAGCAGCAGCTTTGGCAGTTGGCACTATCTCATTCCTTAGCTTCCTGAGATGAGAGTCTAGCTTAATGGTGAAGGCAAAAGCTGGAACCATGTTTATCACTTCAACAATGCAATGTCTCTAAGTCCACACTGCCACTAAGTAGCTAACCACCCACTGCTCAAAAATCCACATTTAAGTACTTGGTAAAAGGGCCTCTTAAAAGAGCCATGCAGTTTTGGCCAAAAGCACTCAGTCAGGAAGCCATCTCCTAATGGAGTTGTGCCTCTGCTTGTCACTTAGAGACTAGAACCTACATAAGAAAAAGTGGTTACTAAGAAGCAAAGTTTCATTCCATTTTTTGTATCTTTAGAATCCTTTTTTTAATGCTTTTACAGACTTTATGGAATTTCTTGCCCAACTTGGACACCTTATATAAATGGCCATTTCCTGCATTACCACACAGAGGCTTATATTACTTATAAATAATTAACCAGAAGCAGACTTACTACTAGTTAATTCTTACACTTAAATTAAACCATAATAATTTTTGGTCACGTGGCTTGGTACTTTTTCTCAGTACAACATTCTCATGTTGCTTCTCTGTGTTTCCAGTGACTCTCTGGCTCTGCCCTTCCTCTTCCTAAAGTTATCTTAACTGGATCTCAAACTCAATCTCTACCTGCCCAGAAATTAAGAAAATGATCTTTTATTTAACAATGAGCATGACCCATAGCGCTTAAGTAATATGGATATCTGACATTAGGAAAATAGCAATAAATTTGTAGCTTTATCTGACATAGTTAAAAAATTATCCCCCCTGTGTGTTTAAACACTGTTTATAGAGCTGTGAGATGGTGGTGAATCTCTTTAATCCTAGAATCTAGGAGGCAGAGACAGGCGGATTCTATGGGCTCAAAGACAGACTGGTTCACAGAGAAAGTTCCAGCACAGCCTCCAAAGCTACAGAGAAAACCTGTCTTAGGAAACCAAAAAGAATAAAAAATAAAGATTATAAGCTATTGTTAAAATTTATTGTTATAGTTATATTGTTTTTTTCTTTTTTAGTAATTTTCTGTGGCTGGGCCATAATGATTTCCTTGGGGGAGAGCATGAGAAGGCTTCACATCAATGAACACAGTCACTGAAAGTACAGTGAAAAGGATAGGGCAAACTCATTTATTTAACAATGGGAAAAAAACTTATATACTCCTCCATCATCCAGGCCTTTGTATCCATTGACATCATGGTGGTCAGTCTCATTGGCTAGGCAAAATAAGGATCTCTGACAGCACCTATTTCTAGGCCTTCAGAAAATATTCCATGATCACCCCTTATTGGTTAGACATGATCAGTGCCTTTGTCAACACCAGGCAGATTCCATGCTGGTTTTCTCGGCTTGGCCTGGCAGGTCTTAACTTCCTACACTTGTTCATTCCTATTTGAATCTCAATTAGTTCTACCGCTCCTTCCATCACAAGTGTTTATAATCTAGAGTTATTCACCTATATTTGCAAAGCTACAATTGTTAAACTGTGCTTCTAAAGGTTATCTTTTAACGAAATCCCAAAGAGCTGATTATTCAGAGGTATCACTTCATTCTGATTTTGAATATGGTCTTCCATTCTATTTCAAGATTTTATGTCATCATTAAGCTCTCCATAATGAAATAGTCATAAATTCTAAAAGGCCCTTTTGTGCATGAGGTATAGAATTTAAAATAAATCCAACTAGACTGCAAGAGAGGATTGTGAGGATAAGAGTACCCAGGAGGCATGTGGAAGGCAGAAGGTGTCTGTTTTGTACCTAAGAGCAAGTTATTTAGAGGCTGTAGTATTTGTGTGCAAGAGAATTAAAAGATCATTATGATATTAAAGATATTTGTGTTTGTGATTGTTTATACCCAGACATACCTGAAGCAATGATTTCCTGAGGTGTCAAAACTGCCAGGTAGGATACATTAGTCAATATGTAAATCGCAGCTATAATAGGCAGACCAAAAATCAATGATTTGGGAATTGTTTCAGAGGGATTTTCTACTTCTCCTGAAAAACACAAGTAAAATGATCAGAAAAGTTGCATACTGGGAAATGTATTCTTCTCTGCATGAAAAAGAAAGCAAGGCCTGGCCATGGTGGTGCATGTCTTTAATCCCAGCACTCAGGAGGCAGAAGAAGGTGGATCTCTTTGAGTTCAAAGTCAGTCTGATCTAGAAGATCTAGTTCCAAGACAGCCAGAACATCAGAGCAGTTACCCAGAGAAACCCTGTCTTGAAAAACCAAAAAAAAAAGAAAAAAAAAGAAAGAAAAAGAAAAAAACGTGTGATACTTCTTTAACTTTCTTAAATCATTAATTCTGCTCCTTTGGCAGACAAATTTCATTTGAATATTGACATTTTCTATGATCCTAATTTAAAAATAAAAGTTTTTAAAATTTAAATATTCTTCACCAAATTATATCATGGAAAAAGAGACATTCAATTTTATAAGCAAGGAGTAGCCAATATAAACAATATAAACATATCTCTTCTGTTTTTTTTCACAAAGGTTTAAACAAAATTATGTGAGGTCAGAATTTGGAGAACTGCCTTTCTCTATTTTGGGTAACAATGGTGCATAACAAATTCCCAACTTTGAAGGCTCTAAGTGACATTAACATGCCGATAATCATATCGATCAGTTTCATTTTGTGTGGCATAAGTATTATTATACAGGCTTCCTTCTCTTTTTTCCCTTCCACAGATATACTGTCAAGTGAGAAAATCACTGTTTAAAATTTATAATCCACCATAAATCCTGACACACGTGGACTTCACAGGAGCCCGGTGTGTCCTCTTCAGGCAGCTCTAATTCTTACTTTGTGACATAAGCTGAGAACATAACTGAGAACAGAACAGACGCCTGCTTTCATGGCCCCGTGATTAAATGTGTAATTCTTCCAACATTTTTAAGGATCTATGGTGAGAACCAGCTAATTTAATGGAGGGTTTCTTTCTTCATTCAGAAACTTCATTTTGATCAAGCCAATCTAGAAGCATTTCACCAGCAAGTACTCGTGAAACTTTATCCTTAGGCAATAATCTGCCTACCAAAAAATTCATGTTAGGGCTATTGAAAATCCAAAATCTCACTAAAAGTAGTGGTAGATGATAGATAAATATACAGACAGATTGACAAACATAAAGAGATACAGAGAGACAAGCAGATCAACAGATGATAGATAGATAGATAGATAGATAGATAGATAGATAGACAGACAGACAATAGATAGATTTTACAAAATATATAATCCATACTAAATAAAGCTAACAATGACTTAAATTAAGATACAATGTTACATCCAAATCATCACCAACATAAATAAGTACAATATGCCTTCTCCAAAAATTAATCCTCCCAATTTATATGGAACATAGATGACACACAAGACAGTGATTTCAAAGTAAAAATAATAAATGTCATCAATAAACTCAATAAAGAATATAAATTAATTCTGAAATTAAGACTACACATTAATAAACTGATGATTGCATTAAGAAAAATTTCAGCATTTAAAAATAGAATTTAATTGAGAGAATTTCTGAACAAAACTCAAACAAAAATTAAACTTGTTGTGAGATATTTTAATAAGACAACAACAACATCCTTTCTATGTGCCAAAAAGCATGCTGAAGAAATGGAAAAATTCCCACTCACATTAGCATCAAAAATATTAACAATCATTCTAAACAAGGAAGTGAAAGAACTTTACGATGAAAACTAAATTCTGAAGAAGCAGAGAAACACTAGAATATTGGGCGATCTTCCATGCTCAAGGATTGGTAAAATTAATATTGCGGAAGAAAACATTCTATCAAAAGAAATAAACAGATTCAGTTCAAATTCAATCAAAATACCCATCATTCATGATATTTTTGATAGATATTGAAAAAAATACCTAAAATTCAGGTAGACCCAAAATAGCTAGCCAAGCAGTAGTAATTACAATGCTGAAAGGATTATTATTCTACATTTTAAGACTTATTACAGAGATGTAATAATAAAACCAGGATGCAACTGGCAAAAAAAACAGACATATAGACCAATGAAGCAAAATAAAAGGTTTAACAAAATAAAAGACTTAAATAGCTACAACCATCTCATATTTGACAAAACATCTGAAAGCTTACACTGAAGGAAGGATAGCATCTTATACAAGTGGTGTTTGGAAAACTGGTTGTCTACCTGTAGGAAGAATAATATTGTCCCTAAATATATAACCCTATTTAAAAAGTTACTGCAAGTATATCAAAGGCATCAATGTATCTCCTGAAATGCTGAACTTTCTAGAAAGAAGTCCTATATGATTTATAGGTAAAATAGAAAAATTCTATTAAACAATAAAGAAATAGGAAATTATCAAATTTTCAGGTACATGGGCGGAATTATAAAATGTTACCCATATGAACTAAACCAAATCAGTAAAGACAAACATTGCATGATCTTCATCATTTTATTTACATTACTCATATTTTAAGTGTATTGGTGGAATAAAGCCAGATTCTAGGCCAAAGTATCAGAAACATGGTCTCCCTACCATCTCTCAATAAATTCCTTGTTTCCCTCTAAAGCTCAGAAGCTGAACTGTCAGTGTCCACATTTTTCTCAGCATTAGTCTTTTCAATGTACTCATTAGCACAGTTCATTACATTCTGCTTTTGAAATCCTGTAGCATTTTTAGCTCAACATACTAAATGCCTCTACATTCCTCCAAAAAATTACATAGGCTTAAAATGCACTTGGTCAGGCTTATTACAGAGATGACCAAAGTTATGATGCCAACTCTTATCTCATTACTTTTTTAATTGATGTGATAAAATATCCTTACAACTTATGAAATAATGGCTTTATTTTAGGAGAGATTTCCAGATTACAGAGCATCATTATTACTGGGAAGCCACAGCAGCAGGAAATTAAGTTAGCTGTAGACATTGCATCAATATTCAAGAAGTATAGACAGTTAAATGCATGTGTCTTCATTAGGGTTTCAATTGCTGTGAAAAAACACCATAGCCACAACAAGTTTTATAAAAAAAAATATTTAATTGGGGCCAGCTCAGAGTCGAAAGATGTAGTCCATTATTGTCTTGTCATGAAGCATGGCTGCATGCAGTCAAACACGATGCTGGAAAGGTAGCTGAGAGTTCTAAATCTGGATCAACAGGCAGCAGTGAAAATCACTAGACCTATCTTGAGCTTCTGACACCTCAAAGCTCACAACCCCAATGAAACTTCCACCAAAAAGACCACACCTACTCCAACAAGGTCAAATCTAATAGGGCCCAACCCTTTGGGGGCCATTTTCATCGAATCACCACAGCATGCATGTTAGTGATCCCCTTACTCTCTTCACTGTCAAGCATTCCAGAATACCCTGCTCAGGAAGTGGGGCCTGCCATACAGTATAGGGATTCCATATAAACCAATATGATTAAGATAAACTCTCATAGAAATGGACAAAGACCTCCTAAGTCATTCTTTGTACAATGGTAACAATTAAATTAATGATCTTACAATTCTTTCATGATCCTATAATTCCTACATTTATGATACATTGGTAGTTACCCCACATAAAATCATACCCTTTTACTTCTTGAATTTTATTATTCTTAATCCATATTTTAACTTCTTGTTTCATAGATATCTCCATTAGATATAGATTTTATGTTATTTATTTGCAGCTGTTGCAGAATATATTTTCTTGTTTTTTTCATTAGTTTACCTATTAGTTTTTATTTCCTTGTTTTTACTGAAATACAGATAATTTAAAAGAATAAACTTGTATTTATAATTTCATTGTTCTATTTATATTTCTGAGATTGCACTCAGCATTTATTGAATAACTGAATTGATAGTTATATAAATGATTATTTTTATGTGGCTAAAGATTTAATATTCAATGTGGTAACTAACTTACTTGGCATAATTCCTGTAGGTTTTATAAAAATTTAGTTTTCCAAACAGTATAGGATTGTGATGAGATGAAAACATAGATATAAATAGATTTGTAAATCTATATACATTGTTTGTTAGAAAGAAAAATTTCAGGTGTCCTAAAAATTATGTGTAATGGATTATATTTGAGAAACTAAATAAATTTGTGTCTTTTTGTATCAAAAATCCCTCAGTCTTTTTAACTATACCTCCAAAAAAGTTAAGTCATAAAAAATAAATGTAATTGGCAATCAATCCATGAATTATCAACAAAATTGATAGAATACTGTCTTCAGTCTACCCAGTGTGGCCACAAATCAATTTAAAATCACAATGCAGACAGCTCCAAAATGAGGAAATACAAATGGTTAAAAACTAGAGAGAAGATGCTAAGTGTAATGAATAAATTAAAAAATGCTACAGATCCCGAGTAGCTGCAGGTCCCCAGACAGGAATGGTGCATGAGACCATGCCGCAGTTCTCCAAAGGTAGCTGGTCACAGGTGATGGGCAAGAGATGGATAGACACGCTATGCAGAATGAGGTTGGATATTTATTTAGTGGGTTATGGAAAGGAAAGGGAGAAGAGGAGAAGAGCAGAGAGGCAGACAGAGAGAGAGAGAGAGAGAGAGAGAGAGAGAGAGAGAAGAGAGGTGAGAGACAAAAGGGAGAGACAGAAGCTGATGGAGAAGGGAGTGGGCATGGCTTGTCTTTTAAAGTGACAGAACACATCATTACATTCCCATCTCTTTTTTAAAATAAAAATGCAGGATGTCAGTCACCACAGGTTAAGGGAATTGGGGCAGCAAATTTTCAAGACTGTTTCCTGCTTTTTGTGAGCATCAACTTTGGGGGGAACCTGAGAAAACTGGGTGATGGTCACATCCTGACATAGCTGATCTGTTTGTTTCTGTCCGGTGTTTGTGGTGTGGAAATGTCTGTTGTCTCTTATACCTGTTTAAGTTATTGGGAGAACAGAGGACAAAGTTAGGTTTAGAAAAAAAAAAACAGGACCAGGGAATTGAGAGGGGTGTATCTGACCTGTTGTTTAAGGTGGATCCTTCAGTTTGGATT